GACTCCATTAGCGTCCATCTTTCCTAATAAACTATGAGTTATTCGGGAGTGTGTGAGCTTTGTATGAGCATATTGTAGACTTACTCCCTCGGATGAAGATTTACGAGGGAAAAGTTTTTGATATAAAGCCTAGGATCCACCTGAGAATCGTTGATATTAAAAAAATGGTGCGTTTTTTTAGAGCCGAGGCTCTAAACAATCAAATTTGAGTTCACCTTCAAATATTGTCAAGAAATATGGTTTTAGTATTGGAAAGTTTTGTAATAGTCTTAAAATATATTTTTATCTATAATTTTAAAATTTAAAACTTTTAAAATAGTGTAAATCGAGTCCATCTATGAAAACTTGAAATTCTTGAAATCGACGATCTTAACGTTACAATATGCAATATTTTCAAAACTTGACATCCATTTTTTTCTCATGTCCATGCATCTTGATGTCGAGATGATCAATTTGATGATATTTGGGCATCAAAATAACATTTTTTATTGAAATTTTAGAGGTAGGTTCTAGTTCTATTGTTTAGAGCCTGAGCTCTATATAAACTTTTTCCTTAAAAAAAATAGGGATTGTATATAATGAGATCATTTATCTTTGATACAAGGTGGTCACATTTACTTCCAACCCATTAGATGTGAAATTTGTTAGATTGGATGTCTAACAAAGCTCGAATTAATGTGACCACCTTATACTAAAAGTAAATAGTATCATTTTATATTTTTCCAAAAAAAATATTTGAGTTCTTAAGCACTTAGATCTAACCATCTAAAAATTGGACTATCTCTATTCAATCTCAAGACTTATTTTTTGATATAAAAGTTTATTTTTTCTCATTTTTTTTAAATTGGTACCTAAATTGAATAGGTTGCATTCCCAAAATTTGAGGGTCTAAAAAATACTCCAAAATTGCGTTCTACTGAAATGAATGAATTGAAAAATGCTATTATACGAGAGTACAGTCTTTTGAGTTCTCCTTGATGTAAGGTAGGCTATAGTACCTGCAACTATGCCAAATCTACAATGATTAGTATGTTGGTTGAATCACCATCCAATCAATGGAAGAACCGGCAATGGGATGATGGGCCCCGTGGCATGGCCCTAAAAAACAAGCGTTCGGGGCATAAAATGTGGCTTGAGAGCCAAGCCACAATGGCTTGTGGCTTGAGGGCCAAGCCACTATGGCTCAAGGAACGGCCAGGTCTCAAACATGCCGAACAAATTCAACCCAACCAGGCTTTTTTTTTTTTATTGTATTTATCTTGCACAGCCCGACCATAATATGGTCAGGGGTGCCTTTGGACCAGGTTGGGGCCGGGCTAGGCCTAGCTCTTGAGGGACTAGGTCCGCACTAGGCTTAGAGGTAGCTTGGCCTAGCTCCGACCATTTGTCACCCCTAATCAATGGTTGAATGTTACTACAGATGGAAAGTCGGACCCACCCAACCCAACTTCAATAATGGTCCCATCGTCATCCCCATTCAACGACCTATTATCTCGTGGCAACGACCTTCTTCTTTTCTTTTTTTTTCTATTAATTTTTATATATGCGTTAAATAGGCTGTCTATTGGTCCATGAGATTATAGTATTTTTTTAAAGGGGTTGAAACCGTTTATAAGTCATTCAAGAGGGTCAAAAGATTAAAAATTGCACTTAAGCCTATCGTTTTAAAATTTCTATATCAATCAAGTTATTTCTCATAAAATATTCAAAAATTCAAATTTACTCCCTTTTTGGTGTTGGATAACTACAATAATTAGGGGTACCTTATAATTTTAGACCAAAGGGGTTCTTCTATCATTGATAATGGCCTTTCGGGGATAAAATTATCAAAGTACCTTTTAATATTCTAGCTTCCCAACACTTAACATAGGCAATTTTTGGAAAAAATTTAATCTTTTTATGAGGAAGTACCTAATTGAAATTATAATCTTTTGACACAATTGTTTATATTATAAGGGTTTCAACAATTTATTTGATATTTTTCCAATATGTTACGAAAATACCCAACTTTGTTTAATTTGCTTGATTAATAAAAATTGCTTGGTTCGACTACCCAAATCAATCGAATATTGATTTTGACCAATTTTCAACTCGATTTTTTCTTGGTACTAGATTAGCCAGGAGACCGATTGGTTGTCCGACTAGGTGGATCACATACTTTGGTTTGCTCTTAATAACTATAGTCATGATACATACATCGTATTAACTACCCTTGTTTCAATAATGGGGCTTTAATGTGTCAGCCAATTCACCTATTCAAACATACCTTTTTAAAAGTTCATATTTTTTTAGAGTGATTTTGTACTTAAAGTATAATATTAACCATCATAATCATGAATCTAAGAACTTATTCTTCACAAATAATCATTTACAATCGATGTTTTGAGCTATGAACTAAAGCAGAAATGCGTCTAGTATACGACCCTAAATGAAATTTCAAAGGGGGAAATAATACCTTATTAAAACTTTTCCCTAAACAATTCTAAAAGACGTCTATTTTTGTCTATTTTCAAAAGGATAAAGTTTATATAAGATGCCAACCTTATATCTTATAAGAAATGTGCACCTAAAAAACCAATGGGAAAAGATTGTTTGGAATTTGAACGCTAAAAACACCTCGAATTGATCACCTCGACCTTGAGATCCATAAATATGAAAAAAAAGAGATTTCAAGTCCTAAAAATAGTTCATCTTCTAACATATTATCTGGATAAGTGATCGAAAAGTTGGCTTGAGTCATTTTGACTTAGCCAAGTTACTCGTGCTCGGGCCCTTGCTGAGCCCAGGATGTCCTGAATTGGAGGTTCATCTCGAGGATCTTAGTTTTTTAAAAAACAATTATAAAGAATCTCAAAAAATAAGAAATATATTCGAAACTTTATTTAAAATTGGAAAGTATTTTGGCCATGAATACTTATTTTTAGAATCTGTAGTTTTTAAAATTATTTGAAAATACCTCCAAATATGATTTTTTTAAATCTATTTTTTGCTATTTTTTAATCACAATTCGTAGTGTTTTATAAAATTTTATTTTGAATATATTTTTTCTATTTTTTAAGATTTTTTTATTATAATCTATTTTTAATTGTTTTTAGGTCCTATAGGACTCGGCCCTCCTTGGGTCGAGTTACTCGAACCCGGGTGAGTACTTGGTTGGGGTATTGAGTAATTGGCCCCATAAATCGTTCATTTTCAAATTTCATAATCAGAGATGACTACAGACTTTAAGGATAAATATATAATGAGACTATTTATCTGTTGTATAAGGTGTTCATAATTAATCTAGATCATTGGATATCAAATTGGATAGCTGCATTTATTTCATTGACCAAAATCAAAGTTAAAAAAAATATTTATTGAATTTTGTGACACACCCAAGCTATCAGATTTCACATCAGATGATTATAAGTAATTGTGACCTCTATATACTCGTGGTAAATGGTCTCATTGTATATAATCCGATATTTTTAATAAAAAAAATATTTTTTATATCTCTTACTTTTAAATTTATTTTTTAATAACCTTAAGTTTTCAAAAAATATCTTCTAACACCATACCACTTTAAACCTATTTTTAAACTTAAACAAATATAAATCTAAACCCAATCCTTTCTCACTCTTCGTTTATATATCCAAAATTTCACTCTTACCCTTTCGTGTTATGTTTTTCACTCTCTCTCCTCTCTTGTTTATCCATTTTTTTTTTTTCTCATGTTTATCCAAACAATTATCTTTTCTTCCAATAACTTCTCCAAGCACTTATCTTTTCTTCCAATAACTTCTCACCGTTATCTCTCTCAAAAAATCGAGCGTCACCAATCTTCTCTCCTTACTCTCTCCTCACTCTTTGATCCACATTTCTATGTATTTTTAGGTTTTTTTGCTCTCTCTAAAATGCAGCATCTCAATCTCTGTCTCTATGCTTTTCATGGTTATTCCATTTACTACATGAAAACCTGCAGGGACAAGCGGGTAGTCCCAGGTCTACTCCCCCATCTCTCTCTCTGTAAATCCAAAACGAGAATTCCATCTCATCCCTCTCCACTATAAACAAAACCCATATCAGGAACAAAAATACCACCACTCTATCTCTCTAAATAAAACCCATATTTCCAATGCTCTCTCTAAACACAACCCATATGAGAACTAGAATTCCATCTCTCCGTTTTCCAATACTCTCTCTTTAGAAAACCCAAAATCAAATAAAAAACGTGAATTCCACCTCCCTTGAAAGCCCAAACGTGTTCAGGCTAAATACGCCAAAACCTCAGCAAAAAAATTCTCCGGTGAATTCCAGAGTGTTAGAACCCATGATCATCACGGACTACTGAAAATTCGAAAATAATAAGAATTGCCACTTTCAATGCTGCTCTGTTTTCACTGCTTTGCTCTCAATGACACAAGCAATTCCAAAGTCTCTCTCATAAGAGGAGAGCATTAGAGAGATGGACCTCAAGGGGAAGTCTTTGAATGATAGGCCAAAGAGCATCTTAAAGCAAAAATCAATTTCTCACTCTGGATTGAATGTTCTTAATGAATTCCCTCTCTAAGCCATACAAGAGAGAGAGAAAGAAAAACGGTGAAAGAAAGTAGAGAGAGAAAGAGAGAAAAAGTGAGAGAGAAAGATAGAGAGAAAAACCGTGAGGGAAGGTAGAGAACGGGAGGAGAGAGAGTGATAGGAAAGATAGAGAGAGAAATAGCGCTTGGAGAGAGAAAAAAGTTTCGGAAGATGGCTTTTAAAAAAAAATTGATGTTTTTTTTAATTTTATTTAGTAAAAAATAGATTTAAAGTAGTTCATGGGTTATAAGAAATAAAACCTATAATTTTTAAATTTCAAAATATCTTTTAAAACCAATTGAAATGAAACTTGTACGAAAAGGTTTTATTACTTTTAAACGGGATTTTGGCGTACTTTATGTGAAGAGTAAAAAATTGGGGTGGGAAAAGCAAAAATGAGGAATAATAAAGCTTTACTTAACCCCTTCCGCTCCCGCCTCTCCTCTAACATTCTCTTATAAATTTCATACTATGCGACGCTTCTTGGCCCTTTTCTTCGAAAGCTCACGCCCCATTTCCTCCGCCTCCGCTTCTGCCTGTGCCTCTGCCTCCGCCTCCGCCTCCGCCTCCGCCTCTGCCTCTGCCTCTGCCTCTGCCTCTGCCTCTCTTACATTTTCCAAAACTATCACCACCAACTCAGCCTCTGCCTCTGCCTCTCTTACATTTTCCAAAACTATCACCACCAACTCAGCCTCTTCTGGTGCCATGGCCGGGCTGGAGCCCCTACGCACGCGCGTCTGCATAGTAGGGTGCGGCCCGGCGGCCCACACGGCGGCGATATACTCTGCCCGAGCCGAGCTCAAGCCCCTCCTCTTCGAGGGGTGGATGGCCAACGGAATCGCCCCTGGCGGCCAGCTCACCACCACCTCAGAAGTCGAGAACTTCCCCGGTTTCCCAGAGGGCATCTCGGGCCTCGACTTGACTGACAAATTTAGGGCTCAGAGCGTTCGGTTCGGAACGACTATATTCACCGAGACGATCGAGAAGATGGACCTCGAGACCCACCCCTTCCGGCTCTACTCGGAGTCCAAGGTGGTCGAGGCTGATTCGGTGATTATTGCCACCGGAGCAGTGGCAAAGAGGCTGGATTTCCCTGGTTCGGGTGAGAATGGTGGGTTTTGGAATCGGGGGATATCCGCGTGTGCGGTTTGCGATGGGGCGGCTCCGATATTCCGGAACAAACCGTTGGTGGTCATCGGTGGTGGGGATTCGGCAATGGAGGAAGCCACATTTTTGACCAAGTATGGATCTACAGTTTATATCATCCATAGGAGGGATGAATTTAGGGCCTCTAAGATTATGCAGGCTAGGGCATTGGGGAACCCTAAAATTGAGGTGATTTGGAATTCAGAGGTTGTTGAGGCATATGGTGAAGAAAACAAAGGGGTTCTAGGGGGCGTCAAGGTGAAAAATATGAAGAGTGGAGAAGTTAAGGATTTGAAGGTCTCGGGGCTGTTTTTTGCAATAGGGCACGTGCCTGCGACTGCATTTTTGAGGGGTCAATTGGAGATGGATGGCGAGGGGTACGTATTGACAAAGCCGGGGACGACACAGACAAGCATAAGAGGAGTGTTTGCGGCTGGGGATGTGCAAGATAAGAAGTATAGACAGGCAATTACTGCTGCAGGGACTGGTATGCCATTTCTCACACATTCTCTCTCTCTATCTCTCTAGCTATCTATCGTTTTTTCTTTCTATCTACATGACTACATGTTATGTTTATATGTTTAGAGTTGACAAGTAATCTGGCATAAATTGAAAAATTTGTATTTCCTCAAAAAGATAAAATTGAAATGTTTACATGTAGTTGAACTTGGACTTTGCATATCAATTTATCATTATGTCTGGCTATTTGCATGATTGGAGTTAGCATGGTATGAATTGGAGAATGTTTACACCTTGTTGCATCTGAAGTTTGTGGATAGACTTCTCTAATTGTCTCTTTTGTAGGTTATCTTCCCCTTGTTTTTTTTTTTGGTTGGAAGTTTCAGAGCTAGTATTTGAGAACTATTACTTGAAATCTTGGAACTAGTGAGCAATTTGTGTGTGTATGTGCACGTGTGCGTGTCTGTGTCTGCATGTGTGCATGCAGGCAGGTGCTTGTTCTTGTCTATGCTTTTACTTATTTGGTAGTTGGTGCATTTTGTTTCAGAATGAGGAGGTGAGAATTGGGGCTAGACTTTGGTTTCAGAGCTAGTATTTAATAGTCAGGGATGTAATCTATTATATTTTGCAACGAACAACAAAGAGATGATGTGGATCAATTATGTTTGAAATATCGATTAGTAAATATTGACGCATCCACTTTATGATTGTCACTGATTACTTTTTTTTTTCCTTTTTTTTTTTTATTGCTTTGCTGTCAATAGAGTTCTTAAGGAAGTGGTATGGTTTTCTTGAAGCATTTGATAAAAGATCGAACTCTTTTATCATACAGAATTTGGATGAATCTTACTGGAACTTGCTAAGAAAAATGACATACTTTGGGTGGTGTAATAGATAAAAAATGAAATAATAATAATAATAATAATAATAATAATGTGATATCAAGGAGAATGTCGAAAATTATTGGAAGCAATGTTGAGGAAAAAAATAAAGAACTGCTTGTATTGGGGAGTGAGAGAATGCTTAAGGGACAGTGGGGTAACATGTCTACCTGTCTCAGAGAAAATAGGAAAATTACTGAAAGGTCAAAGAAGGATTATATCAAAACACATTTGGATGGAGATTCATTTGAAGTAAAGCCAACAAAGGAAAAAGGAAACAAAAAATTGAGTTAATCTGTTATTAGGTGATTTGCCCTGTTAATAGAAGATATACTACTGGAGGAAGAGAAAGGCATGTTCTTAATAAGATCGTAAAACTTTAATACTTCTAATGGCTCAAAAGTCAATATTAAATTCATAGAATAAGGAAGAGTACTGTCCAATAAGTTTCTGCTATCTATTGTTTACATACTACAAGTCCATTTTAATTTGGAACATGAGAACATGATTACCAATGAAGAACTACCATGAAAGATGAGCAATACCATGAAATTCATGAAAAATATATTTTTCCTCTTCATGTGAACATTACATTTTTTATGTCATTGTATTTGGTCGAGACTTTATTTTTAAATGAATAGAAGCATCAAACTTTTGATGCATCAAAAGTATTCATTTTTTTCGTTTTATGTTGAAAATTAAAGGGAACACTTTGTTCACAACTAGAACAGGATGAAATAGGTTTGAGGACATAAAATACTGAACAACTTAAAATAATGAACTAGCTTGGTTAGTTGATGAAGCAGATGTCATGGTTGCTATCTTTCTGGAGTTGTAAATTGTACTGGGAGATTCACTAAATTTTCTACTGACTTTTTCTTTTTTCCCCCGTTGTTAGTTATTTTTCTTATCGATATTGTTTACCGGGTTTTAATGGAAATGTTTTTCCAAAACTTAGCAGGACCAAGTCCATCATGGCAAACTTGTAACCAGTGTTTTAAAATGCGCCCGCATCATGCGGGATGCGCTCGCATCCGCATCGCGAACTGGCACACATGCGCTTTTGATAGATGCGGCCGCATCAGGCCACATCATGGCTGCATCCCGCATCACACAGCATCGCGCCGCATTTGTTTCCGTGGAAATTTTTTTCGATTTTGCCCCTCGTGGAGGGGCAAAATGGTCTTTTTGTAGTTCCAAAGTTTAGGGAAACTGTTTAGGGGGTTATTATACCCCCTAAGAGAAGATTTTCAGCCACTTTTTTGGCTTTTTTTGCATCAAATCAAAAGAAAAAAAAATTGGCGAAATTTTTTTTTTCATCCAAATCTTCGATTTGGCAGTTGTTTTATACTTGGATGTTCATTTGATGCCTTTGATTGTTGATTTGGAGATGTTAAGGTGAATTTTTGATAAGAAAGTGGGGATTTCAGAGGCCGTGAAGAAATTGAGCACTATTTCACAGAGTTGGTAACTTTTTATTCCTTCTTGTACAATAATACTGTTATACTTATGTTTGGGGCAATGTCTTCTTTCCAATCTTCTAGTAACAAGGATCCGGCTTGGAAATATGCTAAATTAAAAAATCCGAAAGATAGAAATTGTGTGATATGCTTTTCGACAAAAGTAGCATTTAGGCAGAATTTTTGGGAATGTAAGAGCATGCCCACAAGCTACAGATGATATAAAAAGGGAGATTAGAGTATAGTTGGATAGATTGAAAAAAGATAAAGAGAAAAAAGAAAAGAAAAGAAAGGAATTACTTGATGATATGCAATTATTTGATGATGTTGATGATGATGATGATGATGATGATGATGATGATATGTCTGAAGTTGCTATGAGGAAAGGGGTACTCATACTCCAACCTCAAGAAAGAGGGTTAATATTGGTGGTAGTGCTGAGAGAAGAACACCTCCCTCTAATGGGCCAATGGATTCTTTTTTCACCCCTAGCCCCGAAATTGTGGTTCAGGAGATTGAAAAAAATAAAACAAACCACAATTGACAATAAATATAAGAAAGAACAAAGGAAGTCGGTATGTAAGTGGATTGCAAAGTGGATTTACATGGCAGGCATTCTTTTTAATACTATAACTCTGGATGGTCCAGGCAATTGGGCAATATGGCCCAGGACTTATTCCTCCTTCACTAAGTGAGGTTAGGGAGCCCTTGTTGAAGGATGCTGTATTTGATGTGAATAAAATTTTGATTTCTCAGAGAGAATGGTGGGAGAAATATGGGGCTACTATTATGTGTGATGGTTGGTCCGATGGGAAATCAAAGGCATTCATTAATTTTTTGGTTAACTGCCCAACGGGTATTTTTTTTGTTAAGTCTATTGATGCATCAGACAAGTCATATGATGGTACATACTTATCTGGCTTGATGGATAAGATTGTCGATTTTTTTGGGGAGCAAAATGTGGTACAAATTATCACTGACAATGGTGCCAACTATGCTGCAGTTGGGCATTTCTTGACTTTGAAAAGGAAGCATATGTTTTGGACTCCTTGTGCAGCTCACTGTGTTAATCTTATGCTTAAGAAAATGGGTACAATATCTTTATTAAGTGGGGTGATTTCAAGAGCTATGTTTGTTGTTGGATTTATTTACAATCACACCATAGTCCTAAGCATGAGGTTACAAAGAAGAGAGAATTAGTGAGACCGGGTATCACTAGATTTGCCATGTCATTTCTCACTCTTTGAAACCTAGCCAAGCAAAAAAGTGCCTTGAGGACCATGTTTGCTTCAGAGCAATGGAGTCAAAGCAAATGGATGGAGTCAAAGCAAATGGTCAAAGCATAAGGATGAGAGAAAGGCTGAAAAAATTATTCTGAATACATCTTTTTGGAGTCAAATAATTATTGCATTGGAGGTGGCTCGCCCTTTAGTGAGAGTGCTTCGACTGGTTGATGGTGATGCGAAGCCCGCCATGGGCTACATACATGAGGCAATGACTAGGGTAAGAACTGAAATAAAAGATGTTTTAAAGATTGATGAAAATATGCGCAAGGCTATACTTGAAATTATTGGTAGGAGATGGGATACCCAACTTCACAGGCACCTCCATTCAGCCGGTTATTTTCTAAATCCATCTCTTCACGACAAGCACCCATCCATTGAGTCAGATCGTGTAATAAATGGTGGGTTCTTAGATGTGCTGGAGAGGTTGGTGCTAGACAAAGATATCAAGGATGAGATCCAGAGCCATGAATTGATTAAGTTCAAGTTAGCCTTGAAAAACTTTGGGAGAGATATTGCCACTCGAAATAGGGACACTACAGATCTAGGTAAGGGCCAAAAGCCCAAAAATAATCTTACTTGTCTCTTACTTTATGTATAGTTCCATTGTTTATTTTATACCTTTAATTTTTAACTATATTCTAAATTATAAAACTATATGGATGCGAGATACCAAATCTACAACGTCTCGCTATTCGAGTGTTGAATCTTACATATAGCTCATCTGGTTGTGAGCGCAATTGGAGTGCATTTAAGCATGTAAGTCCTTACTCCTTATTCCTTAATCCTTATTTCTTGAATTTCAATTTTCTAATAAAAAATCTAATTTATCTGATTTCAAATTTCTACCACAGCTCCATACAAAAAAAAGAAATAGGTTGGAGCAGAAAAAGTTGAATGATTTGGTTTATGTGCGGTATAACGAGCGGCTTAGGGAGAGGTATGAAAATCGCACGAAGCTCAACCCTATTCAATTATATGAAGCTAATGGTGATTCCATAAGTGAGTTGACCATGGATCCAAGGCAAGAGCGTGTGTTTGAGGGTAAGGATTTTACATGGCTTGATTTCGAGCTAGCAACAGGGGCTAATGAAGAAAATCGACCTAATACTAGAGCACAAAGGAGTAGAGGAGCTGCTGGGTCTAGTCGCACTCGCACATTAGCTTTAGAGGTCGAGGAGGAAGCTGACTCAGAGGAGACCGATGAAGAAGAATACATGGAGGCCGTCGAGGATGATATTGATGATACGCATGACGACTCTCAAGATGACTTGTCTGATTGACATTTGAAAAAATGAAGTTCAAATTTCAAAATTGACTCTCAAAATGGATGATTGTATTCAGTTATTATTTATTAACTATTAACTCTTCTTGAGCTTGACTTTTGATTTGTATTTTCTAATATCAGTATTTTGTGCTTATGGTTGTACTTATGGTTGTACTTATGGTTGTTGATAGTTGTGTTTAATTATAGTTGTGCTTATGGTGCAAATTTGTGCTGATGGTTGTTGATTGTTGAATGCTTTATGAAGCTGGTTTCAAGTTTCTAGTTTCTATCCGGGGATAGTGGATAACTGGATACCTGCATCATCGCGATGCACCCGCACCAGGACGCATCGGCCTCCCACCGCATCAGGGCGGTATCTTGCATTTTAAAACACTGGTTGTAACAAAGTAGTTGTTCAAGAATTTGCTGGAACAGGAGCAGCAAAATAAGACAAGAGAGATGGTGGAGGGCAATAATAAGATAGTTCAGTTGCTTGACTCTATACCCCTTCCCAATCTATCTGGGTGTCACTTGATCTTTAACTTTTCAATTAGAAGAGGTTAAAGGTAAAAAATTTACTATGTTTACATGCTAGGTTAATATAAAAACGATGCACAAAACAATCAGATTCTTTGACATGTTTCAATTGACTATGGACTTGTCAGCATAGTTCCCATACTTAGGCCTAGGCATCACATGCTAAATAAGGGCTTGAGTGAACCACACAAGATATGACTCCATTGGAGCACGATAGAAGGCATTGCTTCTGCCTTACAATGGGCTTTACCAATTTGAGAACTTTGTTTTTTGAAAAGAGCTAACCATACCAACTTGAGAGCTTGAGACCATTCAACTCGTGTTTAATTTCTGCACCATGAATGAGCCATTTTTTTGCCCTTTTGAAAGTGTTTGAATAGGTTATAGTCTAGAATTATAATCTGAAAAATCTGGAGAGAACGAGAAGTGGCGTATTTAAAGGATTTATGTTAAATTGTTAATAGTTAATGCATCCATGGTTGACATATACTAAAAAAATAGGGGACGAATTTCTCCAACTTGGAGGTATTGGACTGTTTTGTGCTTTGGACCACTTTATAATTCATGTTACATGTTTTTTGCTGAATAAAACAAGAAGGTGAGGCCTATTTTAAAATGTGGAATTTTTAAATTGTTATTGTTAGTTAAGTGGATGACTGAAATTTGGACTGAGGTTTACAGTCAGGTTTCTTAAAAACAAAAAAAGAAAAGAAAAAAAAGAAAAAGTGAACTAAGGTTGTGGCATACAAGTGAACAGGTTTCGATGCACTTGCTTGTAATTTTGCAAACAGATAATATTTTTTGAGATCAGTGATAGTTTCATACCATCACTTAAAAAGAGTATTACATTTCATTGAATCTCTTGATACCTTTAAATCTAATAAAGCCGAATATGAAGTACAGACATAAAGGTCTGACATGAGATCAAGAAGCCACAGTGTTTGGTACATTATGGATTGAAAAAATGCTGATAAGTTTCAATTACTAAAAACAGAAATGCTCTTAACTTTGAAAAAGTTCTCCAGTATGGCCTTGAATAGATTACTGGTTTAGTCCTTAATTAGCTAGAGAAGAAAAGGAAAGGGTGAGAAAGCTTTAACTTCATGGGGATGCAGAGGGGACTATCGGAATGGATGGGAGTACATGCTCATAACGAGCATTATCATTAACTTCAGGAACACAAACACATGCATATCCCAATCCTAAAATAGCCCTAGGACTCCTAAGTGAAACTATAAAACTGGTCATGTTGAAATCTCTGTAATTTACTTATTTGGAAATAGAGATGGATATAAGACCAAGCTATGTAACAAGGTGCACATTGATACAAGTGTGTGAAAGCTTTCTCCATCTCATTATTGAAGTGCCATAAGCCAAAAACAACTTTGCAAGTTTTCTCTTGCCTTTTTTTTATTCCTTTAATTGACATTTGCATGAGAATTTTCCTTGTGAAATATCCTTGAAGGTATTAATGCCTGTTACAAGGCGCAATTAGGGAGTTCTTGTTTTTTAAAAAGTATTACTGTGGATCTTGTTTGTTAAAAATTATAATTATGGGTCTTCTGGAGTCGTTTAAGACAAAGGGCAATAGGCCACGCCTTTATCACTATATGAGGAGTTTCTTACCTTTACAGTGGAAACTAGCCCTTGTATGTACTTTGGACGGCTTTGTTTCTAGCAGTTTACGCCAATATTGTTCGATTCACTTGGGAGCCTTTTTCGGTTTGGTTGGAAAAAACAAAGCAATTCGGTGCTTCAGCCGATTAGGAGGAAGACTTTGGAATTTAAAAAAAAAATTTAATGTAAAATTTTGTGCTTCTCCTGAAGCAGTACAACAGTTTTCTGTTAATGAGAAACATAATGGAATATGCTGCATATAACAGGAAATGTTTTGGTGACTTTCCCCCCATTTTTGTCTTACACTGAGTTGTATTCTTGCCAGCCTATGAATGTTTTTGTCATATGCAGCCTATGCATGTTAAGTCACCTATGACAACTATTCACTGTATACGGTTAATCTCCAGCATCTGTTGTTTAGGATGGATACTGAATGCCTCTGTTGTTTAGGATGGCTACTGAATGCCCCGATTGTGTACCATATGCCATACGGATGATATCTACGGTATACTCTTCCTTCTCACTTTTCTTTTTGTGCACTGAAATGTTTTCATGATTCAGGGTGCATGGCAGCCCTGGAAGCTGAACACTACTTGCAAGAGATAGGAGAGCTGGAGGGGAAGTATGATTGACTATCTCCAGATTCAAGAGAAGAACTAGAGAATGGTCCATTAATGAAACCAAAAGCTAGGTTGTGAAAGAAAATTAAGGAAAATGTTATGAGAATCACATCCTACCTACTGAAGTCTAAAATTATATGGAAATTTTCATGTTGGTTATGATATTTGGTTTCACCATATCTTATTGAATGTTGATCGATTGTTGAAGAAATAGTGTTTAGAGAATGATTTATATGGATTTAAGAGTTCATTTGAGCTGAGATAATTTGGGAAGTTCCTTTTTTTGGGGTTTGCCCTAAAATGTGGCCTATTCGTAAATGGGGTCGATGGGTTATGTGTGGTGGAGATCTTAACCTCATTGCCATCTGTTCGGTTTTTTCAGTGTGGGTTTCAAATTTCATGGAAGTTTTTTTTGAACCGGGATTGTATACAATGAGACCATTTACTTTTGGATGCAGTTTGCATATGGATGCATCCGCAGGTGTAGAGTTAAGATGCACCTTCAAATTTTATCATGATATATAATTTTGATGTAAAATGTTCTTAAGATTATCTCAAAATCTATTTTTATATCTAATTATAAAATTTTAAATTTAAAAAATTATTAAAATCAAGTAGATCTATAAACATATTAAAATCTTGAAAATGGACGGTGTAGATAATATATTGTAAAATGTACTATTTTTGAGATTTAAAAATCTTTTTATTTTTCATAGTCATACGTCTCGATGTCGAGATGATCAGTCAAAGGGTTTTTCAACATTAAAACTACTTTTTTCCGATGGATTTTTGAGGAGGCATATGTAGTTCTACATTATAAGGTTGTATCCTTATATAAACTTTTTCCTTTACTTTTTGCTACAAGGTGGTCACAATTATGTACCATAATATGATGTGAAATCTGAAAGCTTGGGTGTGTCACGAAGTTCGAAGAATTTTCTTTTGAAGTCTAAGTTTGATCAATGCAACCATTTAATTTCACATCCAATGATCAAGACTAATTGTGATCACTTTATACCAAAGATAAATGGTCTCATTGTATATTTATCTTTTAGATAATTTGTTAGTAGATATATTTTTTAGGATCGAAAATTATTTTTTTCTTCATATTGATTTATCTTGAGGTCAAAATGATCAAATTGAAAGGTTTTCCAACATCAAAAGATTCTCTTCTAGTGGGTTTTTGAGGTGTTGTTACTTCAATAGTATGTGGTTGATGCATTATATAAACTTTTTCTGATGTCTTAATTCATCGTATTGTATCCTATTTATAAAATGAAAATTTTAAAAAGGTTGTGCAATATAAGTCCAATTTATGGTACAAATAGGTCATAATCTTTCTTAACCAATAGAGGTAAAATAAGATTATCCACTTTTAATACAAAAAAGTCATAATTTGAATTCTTTGTAACCAAATCAATGATCTATCCCCCAACTATTTTATATAGGGTAATTGGTGGCAATTTGTGCCAATCTAATATTGCCGTTACTAGCCCTGTCCTTCGAGGTAATGATGGCTTTCCACATCAACATTTCAAGATATGAGTTGAGTTGTGACTTGGGCTACCGGCCATTGAGAGCTGTTGTATCTGTTGTTAACGCTCATGTCACTAGAACCGTGTGCACATTCTGTCTAGTCCAAACCTGGTGTGCAGATTGTTTATATTATTATTTTTTTGATAAAAGTCACAGCTTCTACTGAAATTTTTTAGCATGAACTTTTTTATTTATTAGGTCGTTCATTTTAATTATTCATCGATCGTTGGATCAACATTATTTTACGAGTTGCAGATTCATCAATTTGAATTTTAAATATATCTAAGAGACTAAGGTATACTTCACATCCTAAATCCATCTCTGAAAGAAAGACCTATATGATTTTTTACTGGGTAATACA